CTGCTACAGCCTCCTGTGCTGCTGCGGCGGCTCCGCCGCGCCCCGCGCCCGCTGCCCGCCCGTCCGCGCCGCCGCCGCCAAGAAACTTCTGCAGCAGTCGCGGCCGTGCGGGCGGCCGGTCCCCGCCGAGCCCCCCGCCCCGCCGGCCGGCAGCGCCCCGGGGGCGGCCCGCCCGGGGACCAAGCGCCTGCCGCGGGCCATCGTGGTGGGCGTCAAGAAGGGCGGCACCCGCGCCGTGCTGGAGTTCATCCGGGTGCACCCCGACGTGCGCGCGCTGGGCACCGAGCCCCACTTCTTCGACAGGAACTACCACCGCGGGCTGGAGTGGTACAGGTGAGGGCGGGGGGCTGCGGGACCGGCCCCTGCCCGCCCCGAGCACGCCTCTTCCCTGGCCCCCGGGCACCCCCCGCCCCGGACAACCCCTGTCCCGACACTCCCCGGGTACCCCCCGTTTCGGGCACCCGCCACCCCGCTCCCCGCCTCTGTCCCCTCTCCCCTCCCCTCCCGGCGGACTCGGGTCCCCATCCCTCCGTCCATCGGCGGGGCGGGAGCGGCCGGACCGGTGCGGCGGGCTGGCGGAGGAGGCTGTCGCCCGGTCGCCCTCTGGAGTTTTCCCTTCACCTCCTCTTCCCGCAGTGCCGAGTAGGTCGCGGCTCGGTCCCTTCGGAGCGACCGACTGCAGCCCACTGAGGCCCAGCCCTGCCGATCGGCACTCAGGAGCCTGGATGATGCCAGGTTTTCCATCCCGCCTGAGGAGACACTTACCTGGGTGAAGGGCCCTCCAAAACGCGCGAATGGCCGTGGGTGGATGGCTGTCTTCCCACAGCCCCACTCGGTGTGCCCCTGCACCCTTCTGCCACCAGGCTCGATTGCTGGCTCTGTGAGAGGAACAGTCCCTATCCTCTGTCATCCCGTCTCTCTGAACTCGAATAACTGTGGAATTGTCTGGAGTATCTTAATAATTTGCAGAGGATGCAAGTGTGTCTCCGGCAGGAGATGACGGGATTTTAACTTCGGTAAAGGCTTTTGTGAGGAGCTCTGGGTGCTCCTGGAGAGGCAGCGAGCGGTGCTGTGAGCGGATCACAGCGCCCATGCGATCAGCCCCTGCCCATGGTACTGCCAGAAGCTCACCCCCAGCCCCCTGAGGTTCCCACCCAGTGTGTCGGTGGGTGTTGGCTGTGCTGTTGTACAATGCTGGGTGTTTTTGGGCAAGGCTGTGGGGCTTCCACGGGGCATCAGCCTCAGGAGGCAGAGGAGGGCTCAGCCTGGCCTGGTGCCTGTGAGCTCACAGCAGGGTAAAGGACCTTGTAATTGTCCATATGTCGGAGCATCGTGGCAGATGGTGGAGGCAGCCCACAGGGCCACACTGAGCTTGCTTACCCTCTGTCTTGGCAAGGGTTTCCCAGAAGAGATGTCCCCAGTTCCAAAGCTGGAACTGGGCAGTGGCTGGCAAACATGGTGCACACTCTCAGCTCTGCTGGGGTTCTGATAGCTGGGGATTGTGCCCAGGGAGGAAGCTCAGGCACTGCACAGGGAGAGCTCTCTGGGGTCACGGCAGACCCTCTAGCTGGGAATGTTCAGCTCCTTTTGTGGTGGTACTGGTGGCAGGTGACGGAAGAGCCAGGACGGACACAGGTGGAGCTTGCTGAAGCCCTTTTCCTCTCCTGAGGCTGTCCTGTGGCATGCCTGGTTCCTCCTGCCCTTTAGAGAGTAGCTGCAGCAGTGTCCTTCTCCTGCTCTTGCCACTTGGCAGACCTGTGTCATTCCTTCGTCCTCCCCCTGACATCAGGAACTGTCACCCATCCTGCATCCCCTAAAAGACAGCAACTGGGAGCAGCCCTGCAGCACAGGCGTGCAAGGACAGTGGTTTCTCTAAAGAGCAGTCAGAGTGGCAGGATGAACCTGGGTCCTGACTGAGTCCCTCACTCGGTGGTGCTCAGCACCTGCCTGGGAAGCAGCCCCCCCAAATCCTAAACTGGAGCCCCCCCTGCAATCCTTGTGTCTCTGAGTGATCTGGGCTCTTTGCTTTCCCTGCGCACAGTTGGCGTGGGGAATGTGGGACTGGGAGTTTTGGAGGCAGCACAGGACCAAACCTGTGACACTGCTCCCGCAGGAGGTTCAGGACACAGGGCCTGCCCTGAATGAAGGGAATGTAAGGGCATGTAAGGGCACCTGTGGGCACCAGGAGTGATGCTGGTCCAGCAGACAGGAGCCGTGTCCCCATTGCCTCACACTTGGCACTGGGGGGCTGTCCCAGAGAGCGGCCAAGCAGGCAACCCCCCGAACCGTGGCTCAACCTGGGATCTTCCATGTGAAGAGGCTCGACTGTGACCGGGAGGGATCAGCCTGTGGCGGCAGCGAGGGCGGCTGTGGAGCGAGGCGGGGGCAGCCCTGGGAGCGCAGCCGGGTGAGCGGCACTGCCCGGGGCCTGGCTCTGCCTCTGGATCGATGGAGAGATCGCAGTGGAGCCTCCAAATTAGTTCAGCTAAAACAATTAAATGACACTTCCTTGGTTTTATTACCTTTTTTTTTTTAACCTGACAAATGTGCCAAAACTTAAGCACAGAGGCTGCTAATGTATAAAACGTGGAATTGATTTTCCTCCTTGCAAGTGGAGCAATTAAATGTGGAGCAAGTCTAACCACAGCACGATGAGCTCCTGTTGCTCTGCCAAGAGCCTGGGGAGCAGGAGAGCAGGATCCTGCCAGCGGCTGCAGCCCAAAAAGGACAGAACTGAGGCTGGGGACAGCAGCCGTGGGAGCTTTGAGGGGCTGCCTGCAGCACCCTGGGGGAGCTGTACCTGGCCTGGCTGGGGCTGTCTTCCAGCTGCCAGCTGAAGAGAGCAGATGCTGCCAAGCTTGAGGAGTGCCATGGTGGAGGGGGGTCTCTCCAGACAGTGTGGGGCACAGACCCCTTGGAATGGCAAAGCCATTCCAAATATGAGCAGAGACTTCTCCTGCAGGAGTCCCTGGCTGCTGAGTGCCTGATCTGGCTCTGTCCTTCCCCTGTTATGCCCAAGTGGAGAGCTGAGTGGAGAGACCAAGTTGATCTTTGAGCAGTGTGAGAGCTGGGCCCCTCCAGTGATGCTCCAAAAATGCTGGTTACTGTTTTTGCATGTTTACCCCTGGCCTGGCATTTGTCTGATGCAGAGATGGCAGAGCCAGTGGGAGGGGACATCTCCTGATCTTCGTGTCCTTGCCGCTCCAAATGTCGTGCTTACTTACAGCTGCTGCTCTCATGGTGCCTCCTGCCTTAGCTCCTGCCATGGCCCAGGGCAGCCATAGCTCCCCCCTGTGCAGGGAAACAGCATGCTGGGCAGAGCCAGACCCCTCGGCTTCCCCCTGGGTAGGACCACCACCCAGGATCTGCTCGCTCATTGACTCCAGACCCAGAGCCCCTGTACCATTTTCAGTTCCCATCAGTCTCTAATCCACCTCATTAGCTACAGATACACTACAGGAAAGATATTTTTAGCAAGGTCTGTTTTAAGACAACTGAAACCAAACAGCAGCTACTGGGGAATATTGATTCATTACCAATTCTGTACTAAATGTTCAATATTGAGCTTTTTCCTGCTGCAAGTAGTGTGGGCCAATAACCTTCAATATTTTCCAGAACACGGGAAAGATAGTGTCATTTAAATTGCAGTTAACTTTGAGCAGTGACTCTAATTGCAGCATCTTGGGGTGCAATTGGGGTTTCCTTCTTAGGATTCCTGAGTGACTGTCAGACACTCCAGCGTTATTTTCACAGAGAGGAGCTTTTCCTTGTGGATGTGGTGTCAGGCTGAGCCTGGCTCCCACCCCGTAGGTCCCACTGCAGCCCAGAGGCGGTGCTGGCGCAGGGCAGAGCCCATCTGGTTCCACACGGACCCACCTGCCTGAATCCTATCCCAAGGATGGCACTGGGGAAGCCCAGCTCCCCCACGTGCCACTGCCACAGGTCCCTGGAGCGCTGTCACTGCTGGAGCTCTGCCCACCACCCCTCACCCCCACCTTGCCTCTGGTTTTGGGGTGTCCCCAGTGCTGCAGCAGCACGAGGAGCACTGCTGGCCTCGGAGAGGTGGGCACTGCGCTGCCCTGGGGAACAGACCTGCCAGCCGGGAGCATCGAGGTGTCCCCGCGACCAGGGCAAGGAGGGAGCCGGCAGAGCCGCTCCCGCTCCACCCGCTAATTGCTCCCAGCTAATGGCTGGGCTGGCTCACACACAAATGGGAGCCCATTAGGCTTTGCCCGGCGACAGGGAGCGTGTGGGGGCTTGACTGACAGTGCATTTTGGTAAAGTTAATTAGTGAGAAGAGAGGAAGGCAGCAAGCTTCAAGGATGCTTTGAAATTTCCTTGACTTCAGAGAGTGCCCTCGGTCTTGGGAGTGGACATGGGAGCCCTGGCAGAGTCTGTTGTGTGAGGAGGTGTCCCTGGCAGCATGTTCCCTGGGTACTGCCATGCCCACGCTGCCTGTGGGCAGCAGTCCTGCCTGTCCTGCCCTCCGGGTGGGCCGGGTCCTGCCAGTACCCTCACTCAGTCCAGGAGGGCTTCCCTCCACAAAGAGCTGGGGGAGATGCTGGAGATAAACCCATGTGGGATGCCAAGCCTTTGGCATTAACAATGCTTATCCTTGCTCTGCTCCTTGACCTTGTTTGTAAATGCTGCAGTTTGTTCTTACCTTTGCTTTGGAAGCACTAGACCAACTGGTGACCTGGTGTGCCATGGGCACAGCTGCTCTGTGAGGCTTGTGAGCAAAGGATACCAGGGCCTGGTGACCCTGGGTGTCCATGGCAGGGCCAGGCACTGCCCACAGTGTCTGTCCATGGTGTCTGTCTGGAGCTGGCTGGTGCCAGGGAGCAAGGACCAGAACTGGCTCTCAGGGCAGGCAGTGCCCCCTGTGAGTGATGAGGGGTCTTCAGGGCCTGCTGCCAGATTGGTGGTGTTTGTGCTTGGTGCTGGCATGTTGTCCCATCCATTTGCAGGCTCCTGGCACCAGGAGGTCACTAAGTGGGTGCCACGGCTCTGATGTGGGCCATTAACTCAGGAATCGCTGCAGCAGCTGTGGCACATGTGGTGGTTTTAAAAATGAATATTCAGTTTTGAAGTTTCACCTATGGAAGGAGTTGCCTTGGGGAGGGGGAGACCCCAGCCTGTCTCCATGAGGATGGGGCAGTACCCGCTGGCAGGGCTGTGAGCTGGGCTCTGCACAAGCCGTGAGGGAAACCTCCCACCCCACCGGCCTTGGCCTTTGCCAGACCCTCTGTCAGTGCTGGACGGTTATTTAGGAGGGTAGGAGTGTGTGTGTCTGTGAAGGGACACGGCAATGTGCCCTTTGGAAAAGAATCTCTTGACTTAAAGGACAGTGCAAGTCTCTGGAGCATTTAAATGATTAAAAATGAATCAGCAACAAAGTTAATTACTGTGTTCGCTCTGCTTTTATGCATGGAAATGTCCCTCATTAGCCGTCTAAGAGCACTAGTGTAAATTCTTTGAACATAAACATTTATTAAAGGCAGCCATTCCATCATTAAGTCCTGGCTACTGTAATGCAGGGTTGTGGCAGTGGGGCTGTGGGGCCAGGCCAGCTGCTGCTGGGGCCACGGGCCCTTGGGTGGTGTTTCCAGCTGTGGACATGGTGCCATCTCTGGGGGACACACATCTGGGGGCACAACCAGTCTGTCCCACTTGGCATTGCAGGGCCCTCCTCTCAGGACAGCTGGTCCCTGGCCCCACGGTGCTGCCTGCAGGTCACAGAAGGCTGTGGAGCAGCACTGGGGGATCCCCTCTGCCCCCTCAGCCCCTCGCAGTCCTTGGCTGTGGTGCAGCCCTCAGTCAGGGTGTCCCTGTGTCCTCGACGGCTGCTGCAATGTCTCTCAGCCAGGGAGAGCTTTTTATCTTCCTCACACCTTGGTTTCTCACATTTGACCCAGTTTTGCTTAAACGTCCCTGTAGCTTTGCTGGAGCTTTTCATCCCCCACTGCCGCCCGTTGTCCTGCTGAGCAGAGGGGGCCAGGGGAGAGCAGGTGCTGCTGTCACTGAGCTCACCCACGGTGTGGCACAGCACAGCATGGCACAGCATGGCACAGTCCTGTGGGCAGCTGGGGCCGGTGCTGACTCCTGTGCTTTCTGTGCTCAGCTCCAACACGTGGAGCTGCAGCTGGAGACACACTCACAGCCCACCCTTCTCTGCTGGTGACATCAGCCGGGAGAGGGGAAGCGCAGAGCTCTCGTCACAGGAGCAGGCACTTGGGATTTTTTGCCAAATCAAACAGTTTGTTTTATGCTGCTGGATGGATGGAGCCCAGGATCACACACGTCAGCCTCCAGCCTCCACACACAGCGGGCTGCAGCAGGGAGGGACTGACCCAGAGCTGCTCTGCAGGCTGTGGGACCAGGGCTCAATGGTATTATCAGTGGGTGCTGCTCTCCCTGTACTTATCTGCAATATCTCAATCGACTGATGAGGTTTTGTACAAATTTTTCCTTGGGAGAGTGTTTCACGCGTGTTTGACATCAAAGCGGTGCAGCCAGTCAGGGAGCCCATGTTTCTTTAATGTGGGAGTGTTGTAGGGGCTGAGGGGTGCCCAAAGGCAGATAATAACAAAATTAATAATTCAGGGCTCAGAAAGGTGCTGGTGAGGAGTTAACCCCTTCAGGACAAGGCACTGCTGCAGCCGGGCAGGCTCTGCACTGCTGCTGCCCAGCGCCCATGAGGGGCTGTGGGGGCCGAGCTGTCCCCCAGGGGCTGTGGGACACAGCTGGGCCACGTCAGGGACAGCAGCTCCCCTGGGCTGTACCCACACGTGTGCCCATGTCACTAACACGGGCAAACCAACCTCTAAATCTGGGCTGAAGGGAGTGTTAATGCCCATATCAAATAACACTAAAGGGCTTTAAGAATGGAGTAACTCTAATGAAAGTAATCTCTAATTCAGGAGGAATTAATGCTGTCCCTGCAGCCAGAGCAATCCCTCCAGTGTCTGTCACTGTCGCCGTGCTGGCAGTGCTGTGGCAGCAGCTGGCTCAGAGCACACCAGAAGCCGGTGCCGAGGCTGGCTGAGGACATCTGCAGAGCCACGAGATATGTCCGTGGAGCAGCCAGAGTGGCTCGTGGCTGAGCCCTGGCCACACAGCACTGAGGGCCAGCACCAAGAGCCTTCACACCTACACACGCAAGCCTGGGGCATAAAGCTGTGTGACATGCTATTTGTATGCAAATAACTCTGTGAATGCAGAAGTCAAAAAATATCATTTTAAAGTCAGGTGTAATTAACTTTGCCATGCGTTTCCCCGCTCCTGCAGCCCGAGGGATCCTGCCGTTAGCGGAAGATGAATGCGTGGATGACATGTCTCCCCCTTGCTTGGTTTCACTGGTGATTTATTTATCTGCCCGGGCTGTGTTTTGTTGTCTCAGCAGTCTCTGTTGTTCAGGAGCAGCAAACACTGGGAGTCCATTTAAAAAAAAACAACTCTTGTCTCATTTCAGTAATTTACTATGCAGAGGTTTTGTGTTTTTTGTGATGGATTAGAACCTGTAATTTTGTTTTTGAATGCATGGACCTAATAACTCACGTAATGAAAGTCTAACAGGCCTGAGGATGAGCCATTAATGAAACAGCAGTTTTATGATTCTCCACGATATACTGTAATAGTGAATCACTTACAGAGCTGTCCCACGCTGATTTATGATGAAACTTGTTTGTGATGTGGAGATAGAGCCCTGTGCCTGCACTGAATTAGCATTTCCCAGCAGTCATTAACCAACGGGAATCGTAATCGGGATTTATGGGGTTTGAAGTGGAGCAGTGGGAAAGGCCAATTAAGCCCCATCCATGCTCAGGTACCTCAGTGAACCAGCCCTGCTAATTTATGCCAACTAATTAGTTTGTTCTCTCTCGAACAAGGAAGCTGGTCAAAGAGCATGTGAGGGTATGTGGGCTGGTGCCCCTGGCACGTGCCTGTGATGTCCCAAGTCTTCCATCGCTGTCCCCTTGTCACACAGGGTGTCGTGGGCTGCTGTTGGATCTCGTCCCAGTTAGGTCTTTCCTCGGCCCAAAGCTGCTGGCCATGACCTGTGTTTTGAGGACCCTGGAGGTGCCAGATCTTGGTCACTGATGCACCGAAGCCCCTGTGTTGCGGCGCCGGCGTGGCCGTGGCGGCTGTGCCGGGTTTATCGCATGGACAACTCAGTGCCTTGCGCTCTCCAGCAGGATGGCTGCAGACAGGGATGCTGTCGGAAATGGCTGCAGAGGGGGATGCTCTGTTTGCTTTCCCTGGGTCCTGCTGGCCCGAGCCTCAGTGGGGCACCTGGGGCTCTGGGGTCACCCCATGACGTGACTGCAGTACCAGCTCCGGGTGCCCATGCAGGGGTGAGCACTTGCTGCAGGGCCCAGCCAGGGAGACCCTGCCCGGGCATGTGCATTGTAGGAGGCTCACAGGGAGCCCCACAAGCTGAATTCATGCTGTACCTGCTCACACCGTGGCTGCTGCTGGAGTGTGGGAGCAGCAGGAGAGTACTGACCTCATCCTGACTGCCAGCACTCCCTGGCCACTCCAGCCAGGCATTCCCTGCCTGCTCACTGCCCACTCCATCCTGGGGACCCACAGCACCAGGAATCTGGCTGAGGTGGATTTGATAGTTTATTCTAGTAATACAAAACCAATTTATAAATCTTTCCATCCCATTAGTTTTTATTTGATTTGGGTGTTCATATGTCAAAGTAAATGATTTAATTAGTGCTAAGCTGGGCCGCAGGGATGCTGCATTTCCCCCAGTCTGGTGTTCCCTGCCTGGCTTGCAGCCTGGTTCTCTGTGCCAGGAACAGACGGGAGCCCATCTCAGAGCCCGTGGGCTGAGTCAGGCCCTGGTGGGGCAGGTGATATCCTCGTGGGCATGAGCCCCACATCCCTGGGCAGCCCCTTGCCACAGCTCCCACCGGTGGAGTGGCACAGCCCCCCTGAGGCCTGTTCATTTCTTCCCACGGCTCCTCCTGGCAGTGGTGTGGCGCAGCCACCACATTCCTGCATCCTGGCACTGGGCACACACCCACTACTGTGTGTGTGGAGCTACCAGTGCCCCCATCCTCTGCCCAGGGGCTCCCTGGGGACTGGGACAGACCTAGGAGAGATCCATGGCCAGGGTCCTCCACAGCGCTGCCAGGAGGAGCTGTGCCTGCCTTGTCTCACTGGGAGGGGACACGCCAGCAGCCCCATGCTGCAGTCACCACCTCCTGCTGCCTGTCCTGGCTCCTTCTCACCATCACCTTCTGCTTCGCTTGCAGGAGCCTGATGCCACGGACACTCGACAGCCAGATCACGGTGGAGAAGACCCCCAGCTACTTTGTCACCAAAGAGGCACCTCGGCGGATCTTCAACATGTCCCGGGACACGAAGCTGATCGTGGTGGTGCGGAACCCGGTCACCAGGGCCATCTCAGACTACACACAGACCCTCTCCAAGAAGCCGGACATCCCCACCTTTGAGGGGCTGACCTTCCGCAACCGCAGCCTGGGGCTGGTGGACACCTCCTGGAACGCCATCCGCATCGGGATGTATGCTGTGCACCTGGAGAGCTGGCTCCAGTACTTCCCCCTCTCCCAGATCCACTTTGTCAGCGGGGAGAAGCTGATCACAGATCCAGCTGGGGAGATGGGCAAAGTCCAGGACTTCCTGGGCATTAAACGGGTTATCACGGACAAGCACTTCTACTTCAACAAGACAAAAGGCTTTCCGTGCCTGAAGAAGTCGGAGAGCAGTGGTTTGCCTCGCTGCCTGGGCAAGTCCAAGGGCAGGACTCATGTGCAGATAGACCCCGAGGTGATCGAGCAGCTTCGGGACTTTTATAGACCTTATAATATCAAATTCTATGAAACAGTCGGGCAGGACTTCAGGTGGGAATAAGTGTCCAGGAGCAGTGCTGCAGTGACATGAGGCTGCAGTCTTCCATGAGGGGGGCCCAAGGGGCTGGAGCCAGGATCCTCCCAGCTCGTCCTGCCCAGAATTGCAAGCAGAGGCAGGCGAGGGCCTCCCTGTCCCTTGGGAGTTAGCAGTGCTCTGGAGTGAGCCAAGACAAGGAAGACACAAGAGTCCTGCTGCAGCCACCATGCTGAGGGATGAAGGCCCAGCAACACTGCCTGTCCCAGCGGGTCAGCAGCGCTATGGCTTGTCCTGTGGGGTCCTGTTTGCTTTTAACACCACGTGGTCCCCAGGGCACAGTGATGGCCCCATCCTGTGACCTGTGAGCAGGCTGCTCCAAGCACGTCCCTCCTCTGTGTCCCAAGGCAGATGGGTGTTCCTGGACAGTGGCAGTGGGACTGTCTCCCCACACCCTGGGCAGGCAGAGCTCCGGCCTCTCCACTTGCCTTCATCACTCCTGCGCAGTGTGTACCCATGAGGACAGTGAGATGTATCTGCTTGACAAAGAAGTCCATGGAAAATGTTGTACTGATATTTTGTCCTGTGAATAAAGCACAGAATCCTGCTGTTACGGGTACTTTAGTGGCACTAGTTTCCTTGTTCAGCATGTGATCCCTTCATGTAAATAAAGCGGCTTCCACCGGTCCGTACGCATGGGCTGTTCTTAGGGCAGGGCTGGGCAGACCCCACGCAGAGCTGGGGGCTGTGGGGAGCCCATGTACCTGCTGGCAGGTGAGGGAGCAGGTGGGGGCTGGGGCAGGTCAGGGGGTCAGCCCGGCACGACCTGGGGACCCCCAGCACAGCCCTCCCCAGGCCTCCCCAGAGCTGTCCTCTGCCACGGGGCTGGGGAAGCCTCAGGGCCATGCACAGGGCCCGTGTGGGGATGCAACACACGATGGACCAGTTTGCAAGGCCTTACAGAGAGTGATTACTGACCAGCGAGCTCTAACAGGAAAAAATTGGAGGTAATTAGTGGACATCTAAGAGAACCCCATCTACATCTCTGCCACTGTCAGCCACGGGGGACCCAGCAGCAAGGAGACCCAGAGGCAGCTGTGGGCAGGTGAAGGGAGAGCCCAGATTAACAGCCGTTGACAGGAAAATGGGATATTTGCTTGTGTGATTTTTCCTTTAAAGGAGAAAAACATTCACAGTGAGACTCACAAATCCCAGCCTTGTAGTAGAAAAGCCATTTCCAATCCACTCCAAGGAGGCAGAAGGTGCTGAGTTAGATTGATCCCCCTGACAATACTGTATTAGTGGGAAATTAGAGCTGGAGCCTGAGGAAACCGCTGTGATATCAAACAATTACTTTACATTTGTCCTTACAAATGGAGGGAGCAGAAATGTGCTTAAATCAAGTATTAGCTTTCCAAAGGGCGAGCAAGTGAGGGCTCAGAAAGGGCTGCACTGAAAATGCTGAGCACATTAGGAGCTCTTAAAAATGTCTGAAAAAGCTCCAAGTAGGCGATCTGCATTCCAAGGAGGTGGTGGGGGTGGGGGGTGGAGGGGGTGGGCGGGGTTGGTGTTTGGTGAGGATGGAGGGGTTTGGTGAGGGTGTGGAGCAGTGCTGGTTTGGTGACCTGACGCCGACAGAGAGGCTGCCAGAGGGAACCCCCCTGCTCGCCCAGCCTGTGATGTCTCCCCTGTGAATGCCCCTGACTCGGGGGATCTGGGGACAGAGGCTCTGCTCTCAGGGCCATCAGGGCTGTGGGCAGCCGTCCCTGGTGCAGCACATCCCATGTGTGCAGCCATCCCATCCCTGGTGCAGCACATCCCATGTGTGCAGCCATCCCATCCCTGGTGCAGCACATCCCGTGTGTGCAG